AAAGGGAAAATCAGCAGTGGCTAAGGAAGAAACAAGATTTGTTGAAAGAGACATAATTTTGTTCAGCATCTTCATTAGCTAGCTTAAGTTTGTAATTGTGTCAATTGCAAAGAAAAACATGCATAACATAAAAATAGGCAAAATTTTGTGAGCTTTTTTATTTTTGGAGGACTTTGTTCATTTGAATTGTATGAAGCCTGTTTAGTTTACATGGTGTTTTTGTACTTTTTAATCTAAAAATGGTAGAAGTTGCACTGTTGAGTTTCAGCAAGAGGGGGCTCCATGATCCATAAAAAGGGGCTTGTAACTGGAAAATGCCAACTCCAGTTAAACTATATAAAAAATGACATTTCCTTCACACTAGGGAAGGAGCTCTAGGATTGAATCCTATATAACTGGATTAGCAGATCATAGAGCATGTCCTCTATTCTAATATATATAAACAGCTTTCATAGGTTAAACTGGCAAGCCATCTAGTCTGCTAGATCACATCGTGCTCAGCTGGGTACTTCCTGAAGAATATAAAAACAGCAATAATCTCTTGCTGTTTCTCCTTGACCAGCAACTGCTATTCAGCACTAGAGCACTTTTGGTGTTATCTCCAAAAATCTAGATTTTTTTTTCTTACAAGCTCCAAAACACCTTTTGAGATAAAATCCAATGTACTACGCAGCACTGTACTGCCTGTGCATTTGCAGAATGTATTTAATAGCTCCCAATAGGCTTAAGGTGAAGGCACCGTTTTTTTTAAACTGAGAAAATAAGCATCCGAATAGTGATGACAAGTCACTCATGTTTAAACCTTAATAGAGAAAGCACCCCAGCCTGATGGAAGACTGCTACTGCTTTGGAAAAAAAAACTGCAATATTCCATTGCCAGAATGACAGTTTTTCTCCTACTACAAGTAGCAGGTGAGAAAGCCCTGATCCAGATGTTCCACTGGATTATAATTTTAGTAGCTCTGATAAATGGCATTTCGATTCTTCAAATTGTAAGACGAGATGAAAAGAGGATTTATTAGAGAGAGAGTACCAGACAATCAGGTAATCAATATTTTGCTAGTGCTCTAAAACTTTGCAGTAGAAATGCAGAATAGCTTGCTGCTGTGAATAATGAGAGAGCAAGATATTTTCAATAGTAATTTATGCTTAGAATACTTCTGTAACCTGGTGCTATCCAGATGTAATGTTGGATAACTCTGTGCTATAATCTTCCAGCCAATATGGGATTTTGGGAGTTAGCAAATTGTGAAGGCTATACTGCAATAGTCAGCTTTGGAAGGCAAGTCAAAATTAAAATCCCATCAAGTGCACAAAAGACTTCAGATTGTCACTTTCTCCAGTCTAAGCTATCTCACAAGGTGGTAATGAGTGATTATTGGAATGATTGAGCCAAGTATATCATCTCAAATTTAGTGAACAAAAAGAATACAGATAAGAATAATAATGAGGATGATAATAATTAAGGATTTTAGGTGTTAAAATTTTACAAAAATATTTATTGTTTTCATGCTTGAAATACTGAACTTTTTTCCCCCTTGAGATTTCCTCCGTTACTTTGATAGCTGTTGAATTTTCCAGTTGAAAATCCAGATGCTGCTTTGAATAGTACATGCAAGTACTGTGGGTTAACTGGAGGGAGCCCCATTTTTTTTTCAGTTCTGCAAGGAAAAAGAAAGGCCATCCAGGGGTTAGGAGGCAACTCCTTTTACAGCTATGCCTGGCAAACAATAATCTCCTTCTTTATCAACTGCGGTTGCCACCTTATCAACTCTTTTCAGAGTTATGTGTGCTCAGTGTCTTATCAGTCTTGGGCAACATACCTCATTTTCAACTGGAGATAGAAAACTCCTGTTAGACTAGCCAATTACTTTATTTGACTGTCTTAGACTTGCCTTATAAGAGGCATATCCAGGGATGTGACAGTTTACATACCACACAGTCTGGTGCATGCTTAACTCAGAAATTAGCTCTTTGTGTTCAGTGAGATTGAGGATTAGGGTTGATCTGTGTGACCAGTCGCCCCTGAAAGGACAGGAGTGCTTGGTGCCATCCTGTTTTCCCCACAACCCACAACCCACCCCTACAACCCACCCCCACAACCTACTGGGGAGGCAACCTCTGTCAGCTCTTTTTGCTACATATGAAAAGTTTTATCTGCTTGTTCCAAGATAAGTGGCACTTCCCATGTTGCCTGCCACATTTTGTTTCATTTTTTCCCTCTCGATCTAGTACTGTGTGCTGGCTGTGGCAAGGATAACCACTCCCTCTGGTCACTGGTTGTTGTTTTCCTCAGCCATCATGTCCTGGCCTGCTAGGCTCTGCTCTCTTCTGAAAGGATTTTGATCAGTGAAATGCAGAAACGTTTTTTTTTTTAACATTCACTAGCATTCCTTTCCTCCCCTCTCTCCCTTGCCAGGTTCATTGATTAAATAGTGGGTTTTAACAAGGTGAAATGGACAAGAATTCTGCCAGACTACTACAGGTTCTTACAGCTCACAGCTGAAAATATTCAAATGCATCCTTAATAAGCTACAATCCATATTAGATAATGACACTGCACTTTTTCAGGCACCAGTTGGCATTCAGACAACCATCCAGTCCGAAGCAGATTCTCACAAAGAACAACAAATAGTGATGCAAACAACAAGAATGGGGATGCTAATATGGAATTTGGAATTTGCCACAGACCCAGATGTCTACTTTGTCCCCATATCAGTATCAACAGCAGGTTCCAACACATACATAAGTTGAGAAGTGCCTTCACATGCTTTTCTTTTAATGTGATATATATTACCATTGCTTGCCCATTCTGATCCTCCAGATTCTATGTAAAACAAATGGGACACACTTTGCAAAAGAATGAATGGATACAATTTTGACATCAGGAGTTCAAAACATGGAAAAAGTAATATCACAGCTTTTCAACCTCTGTGACAGACCTTACAATGATCATCTTGGGGGGGGATGGGGGAGAGACCAACAGCATGTCAGCAAAAGACTGCTAACTCAAAGGCTTGAGACAATCTCAGAAGATTTCAACAAACACAAAGGGTTTTTTAACACATTATAAGTGTTAGTTGATAAGATATGTGTGTTCTGTCTCACAGATAAACTGCATCTACATAGGTAACCTGTTGTCCCCTCACTTCCACCCCTCCCCCCATGCCTTATCCCAGTTTAAATCTTACATCAATCTAATGCTCAATGCATCTGATAAAATGAGTTGCTGCTCTTGAAAGTTAGTGCCTTTCAATTAAATTGGTTGGTTGGAAAAGATGCTATTGGGATTTTTATTTGAAAAATATATTGCCAATTTCTTGTAGCTGAAGCCCAAGAACATTGCCAGTTTCTTAAAGTCCAAGAGACAGGAAGAATAGAAAAATGGTGGTCTAGTCTGTTTTTTTTTTTAACCAATAGATTCACTGGATAGAAAAGTGTCATGTATGAGAGGAAGTCAACAGAAGGAGATGTGGATTAAAGTCTATGTGTCCTGAGAGACCTACCTACAAAAAGGAAAGTAATTAACACTTGTTTTCCCAGCATAGATAGAAGAGGTAAAGAGCCAGGGGAGTCCCTTTGTAGGGATACAATATCAGGCCAAAGAGAAGAAAGGGGTTGGCATGTGGAAATTGTCTTTTAAGTTAGTTTCTGTTCTAGTCAATTTAGGGTGGGGAATCTAACAGCTAATGGCTGCACTGCTGACTATTACTACCTAGAAGTAATAGGAAAGTATACATATAATTTAATCTCCATTTATCCTATTAGTGGCCGTCTTTTTTGCTCTCTGGGTATTTCTGGGGAAGGGGAAAAAAAGGCAGAAGCAACAGAGATTATATGGGTGGAGTGACATCATTTTGAGACCAGTCTAGTGTCTTAGCTTTACGTCCTGAGGCTAGGAAAAAGCAGTTAAAATAGATACTTGTTCCATCTTCCTTCTCTTTCACACACATGCACACTTGAACTTCACAATTCACAGAATTCTCAACTGACTAAAATGGGTAAAGTTGAGAAACATTGTGCCAAAACAGGATTTAGATCAATTGCAATTCTAAAATGGCAACCCTTTAACTGGGCTTGAGGGTTAAAGTAACCCTAATCACAATATGGATAGGCACATCAGTAAGTCAAGTCCCAATGACTGGATTACCACATAAAATTTATTAAGTTAACAAAAATTCACTGAGCTCTCCCAAAGCGCTGAACCAAAAGTGACTCAAACTCATACCGTTAACAACAGGACTGAAACCACTAAAATACATATAATCAGAACAATTAATTCTGTCTTCTGGTTTGAATTAGGAGTAGATTGTGGGAGTTTTTAATAATATTATGCGCATTAAAGTAGAATATTAATGTCAGATTATGCTGACATCCCAACAAATGTTTTGTTAACAATAGTGGTGCTGTCCTTTCTTTCAATGCAACTCAGAATAATATTTTACCTTGTGAAATGAACTTCACAAAAGCTTCTGTTATTATGCATTTATTAGAGAGAGTTGCATTTGTGTAATGAAAATTACAGGATGTTTGTGTGGGGGTTGTGTGCGCATGCATGCATGGGGCCCCTTGTGAAAGCTTTCAGGTAATTTATATAGTAGATGTGACACTTCTATGTAACTCTGGCGTTACGCCTGGTTGGTATAATGAATATCTAATAGTTTCAATTCTTTAAAAAATTCTCTTCAAGAAGAATTTGACCACAATAACTCCCTCTATATCGCTCTGTCTTTCCTCCTCCCTCTCTCCCTTTCCACCCTTGCTTGTTTTTCTCGGCCTCTTCCTCTCCCCCCTCTTTCTCCTCTGGAATGGGCAGCTTCCCAACTAGCCAGCAGAAAATAAAGAAATATTCAAACTCTCTCCATAACACTACCACCCAGGCCTTGGTTACCATGGATCCCCCAATGTCCTTCTCAGATTGATCTGATGCCCCTCCCAGCCACCTGTTGGGGGTTCATATAACCCGCCCCTCGCTGTCCCTAAGCTCAGGCTCCCTTGGGATCCTTTTAGACAACAGGTACCTGTGAAGGAGAACAATGCAATAACAAGCAGGTTGTCGGAGCTACAGAGAAAAGATAGCACTGGATTTATCCTTATTTCCCCTTTAGGGGTTCTTCACCTTTCAGACTTTGGTCTACCCTTCTCCAACCCAGCTCCTAAAGTGACACCTCACAGACAGTTATTTCTGGATGACCCTACATCAAAAACAGACTCTCAGAAGCTATAGATTGCCATCTTCAAGGCTGCTTTCCATATGCAGGTAACCTAAGAAGGCCTCTTCTGTAACAGTTCTGCTCACTAATCTACTAGAGAGACTTAATTTTGCCAGAAAGCTCCATAGGTTTCTTTGTCGTGGACAGCCATTCAGTGCAATATTCTTTTAGGATTTATTTATTAGGAGTTTGCTTTCAGGGCGAAAACATAGACTTCTGAAGTTGCGTACCACCATTTAGAGGGTGCATTTTTTGAATTCGTGTCTTCATTGATTTCTACCCAGAACAACTTGTCTTTTGATATAGCTGCCCATAAACCACCATCTTTGGCCCTCCTGGAGGGCAGCAGAAGAAAAAAAAAACAACGAGGTGTGCATTTTATAGCCGAGGTGAAGGATATCCATAATGGCATCTGCAGGGCTAGAGATCATGGCAATGGGCCTATGTATCTTTGGCTGGTTGGGGACTATCCTTTCATGTGCATTGCCCATGTGGAAGGTTTCAGCATTCATCGGAAATAACATTGTTGTGGCGCAGATAATCTGGGAGGGACTGTGGATGAATTGTGTTGTACAGAGTACTGGACAGATGCAGTGCAAGATCTATGATTCCATGCTAGCCCTGCCTCAAGATATCCAAGCTGCCCGGGCCCTCATGGTTATCTCTGTCGTGCTTGCTGTCCTGGCATTGTTGGTGAGTATTGTTGGAGCCAAATGTACCAACTGCGTTGAGGAAGAAGGTGCCAAGGCACGTATTGTTATTACCTCAGGTGCCTTCTTTATCGTCTCAGGACTTCTCGCTCTTATTCCTGTCTGCTGGTCTGCCAACTCCATCATCCGTGACTTTTACAATCCAATTGTGGCTGAACCTCTCAAAAGGGAATTGGGGGCTGCTCTATATATTGGTTGGGCAGCTTCTGCCTTACTACTCCTTGGAGGATCACTCCTGTGCTGCTCCTGCCCACCACGAGACAACCGTTACCCAGGCCGTATTGCATATTCTGTTCCAGCCAGATCTACTGCTCCACCAGGCAGTACAATTGACAAGCGGGATTATGTATGAGCAGTCGTAGTGGTGAGGTAGTGATGAAATTTGTCAGATACTGCAAGACCCAAACTAGGATAGGCATTATTGGCCCAAGGACTTCTGGAACAAGAAGATAGGACAACCTCATCAGTTTGGGTTCAGCTATGATATCTGGCAATTCTGGCGTGTTGGTGCATGTATATATATGTGCGTGTATGTGTGGGTATACAAGTATAATGAGTGATATGAGTGACTGAGGAAATGTGAACAAATAAAGGGATATGTGAGAGAATGAACAAATCTTTTTAAATGAGATGAATACATCAGCAAACTCAAGGGAAATGCAGGAACAATTAGGGAAGCTGAACAAACAAGGGCAGGTTTAGGACAAGTATAGAGATAAGTTAACAGTGCATAACATGTTTGTGGAGGTGAGAAATAAAGAAGTAGATGAAGAAGAATAGAAACACCATGGTAGCTATGGCTTTGCCACCTGGAGAATCAAGTACTGCTGCTATCCCTAGCCAAAGTAGTGGTCTTCTCCTTTTTCCTGTTGTCCCTTCAAAGAGTTCAGGCTGTTCCTTCTCTTGGAAGACTGCATTGTGAGACACAAGGTGTGCCTTGGGCTTCTAAATCAGCTGGATGTCCTCATAAGGGGGCCTATCAGGAACGATGAAGTATGAGTTAAATTTCCAACCAGTTAACTTTTGAATAGAATGTTCCATAATGAAAATTGATTAGGAACTGCAGCAGAGGATCTTGAAGGAAAGAGATTATTTAGATCCATTTAAGTTAGGTTTCAGGCTGTATAGTATAGTACAGTAGAGTAGAGTACAGTACAGAACAATATACAGAAGAGATGGGATTGGTGGTGCCTGCTGATGATTTTTGGGGAAGCTGGGATGAGAGAAGTTCTCTTGAACTTCAGTACTTTTCAATACCAATGATTGCAGTATCCTCCTGGACCAGCTGCAGGGTTTGGGGATGGGAGGCATGATTTTATAGTGGTTATCCTCTTTCCCAGTGGTCAGCTCCAGTCAGTGTTTGTGAAGGGGATGTTGCATCCAGAGCTCCTTGTTTCTAAAGTGTGTCAGAGCTTGATGCTTTTCCCCGCTTGTTCAGCAACTACCTGAAATAGTAACATGAGGTCAGTATCATCAGTATCAGATGATACTCATCTTGATCCCATACCCTTCAGATGATGCTGTCGATGTCCTATTAACAGTGGTTGTTCAGGTCTCAATGGGGAGGAACAAATCCTGACAAGACCAAATGGCCTATATATATTCCCTCCCACCCTTGATCTAGGGACTTTCCATCTTTAGTTTTATATGAGATAGTCTTTCCCCACTTTAGACTATAGACAACTTGAGGATCATCCTGGATCCATAGCTCTTATTCAAAGAGAGGTAGCAAGCTTTGGCCAGGAGGGTCTTTGTGCACAGATTCATCTGTTGAACAAATTGCTGCTATACCTAGATTGGAAAGCCCTTTAGATGTTCACCTATTCCTTAGACAGCCCATGAACTGTCTACTCCAATATGATGCACACCACTCTGCCTTTGAAGACCACTTGAAAGTTACAACTGTTCCAGAATGCAGCAGTGCAGGTAGTGATGTTCATGCTATGATTTACTCATTTATCATTGTTGTTATGTGAGCTGCACTGGTTCCCAGTCTGTTTCTAGGTATAATTCTAGGTGTAATGCTGATTATTACCTATAAAGGCTTTCATTACCCTACTTATTTGATGAATTGCCTGTTCTGATAATTTTTACCTACCTGGTAAGATTAGGCAGAGAGGATATATTTCCAATTTAATTAAGCAGTGTGGAAACCTAAGAAGTACCATATTTTTGGGACTATAAGACGCACCAGACCATAAGACGCACCTTGGTTTAGAGGAGGAAAACAAGAAAAAGTATTTTTTTTGCCTTGGTGCGGCCCATTTTTGCCCTCCTCGGCACCCGGAAGTACTCTGCAGGCCAAAAACAGGGCCATTTTTCACCTCTGGAGGCTTGTTTTTGCTCTCTGGGACCCGTGGAGGCCTCCAGAGGCCAAAAATGGGCTTGTTTTTTGTCTGCAGAGTGCTTCTGGACACCAGGGAGGGCAAAAATGGGACCCCCAGAGGCCTCTGGAGGCCAAATGCAGGCCCATTTTTGGCCTGCAGAATGCTTCTGGATACCAGGGAGGGCAAAAATGGAACCCACGGAGGCTTTGGGAGGCCAAAAATGCCCCAGCTTTTGGTCTCCAGAGTGCTTCTGGATGCTGGGGAGGGAAAAACCAGGGCACATGGAGGCTTTGAGAGGCCAAAGATGGGCTGTATTTTCTCTATAAGATGGAAAGACATTTCTACCCACTTTTCTGGGGGGGAAGTGTGTTTTATAGTCCGAAAAATACGGTATATCTTCTCTATTGCAATACCTATCCTCTGGAACTGCATCCCATCCAGAAATCTCTGAGGGAGGGATGTCAAACTCAAGCCTGGGAGCTGGATCGGGCCCATGGAGTTCTTAGATGTGGCCCTTAGGGCCATCCTGGAAACAGCAGAGAACTGGCCCGTGGTGCCTCTGCCAATGAAAACAGAGCTCACAGCCCTCCCGAGCTCCATTTTCACTGGCAGAGGGTTGCAGGAGGCCATTGCAGCCAAAAATGGAGATCGGGAGGGCTGCATGCAGATCTCCCGAGCTCCATTTTTGCTGACAGAGGGTTGCAGGAGGCTGTCACAGCTGAAAACAGAGCCCGCAAGGACCAAGGGCAGCCCTCCTGAGCTCCATTTTTGCTGACAGAAGGTTGCAAGAGGTCGTCATAGCCAGAAACGGAGCCCGAGAGCCTATTTTCCCTGCCAGAATGCTCGGGCCACCACAGGTGACCCCCAACATGAGTGATGTCAAGCAGACCACACCCACCCTGGCCACAGCCCCAAGGTCTGATGTGGCCCTCAGTGAAATTGAGCTTGACACCCTTGCCCTAAGGCTCTGATTCCAAAATATTTTGAAGACTTTGAGGTAATGTGGATGTAGATCCTTTGACAGTTGTTTCTTTAATATATTTTTTCCCTTGAATGTACATATTTTTCCCCTTGTTATATGGTTTTCTTATTTTTTAAAATGTAAGTTGCTCAAAGTCACTTGGATGTCTTCCTTTTAAATACACAAATAAATAAATACATATAGCTCTGGGTATGTGTAGGCAGATGTACAAAGACCATGAGGCTATGAGAATAGATCAAGAAGCAGACGAATTAAATAATGAGAGGAGCAAAAATGGCACTAAGAACTGGCTGTTGTATAAACTCTTTTGGCTACTCTGATACAAAAGCCATTTTTTTGGTCAAAATCTGTACTTAGAGAATAAAGAGAGACAGAGTTGAAGAAAAATGGTGAATTTAATTCTGAAACACAAGAGGAATGAATGCATGTCTGGCTGAAAGAATCAGAACTTAATGAATGCATGAAGACTTGGGAAGAAAAAAGATAACCAACCCAAACCTGCATATATAACGAATGATTCATGAAAGATGTAAACGTTGGACAAAGGCCAGAATTCCCCGCAAAGATGATGCAGGAAAAAGAAGATTGAAGTTGGGAGCAAAGAAATTAGTTTGGATTTAGTAAAAAAAGTTGTTTTGAGCAGATGGGGGTGGGTGGGAAAGAACCCTGACCCTAAAATTGCTTTGGACTGACGCTATTTGCTTTTTGGTTAATAATTAGTGGAGGATTTGGCTATTCTCAGGGGCCTGGGTAAACAAAGGGGTCTGTTTCCTCCCTGACCATTGATCTTTACCTATTACAACCACCTGCTTCAGACCTGGATAGAAAAAAATTCATCAGAAAGAAATAGGACTTTGAACGAATGCATTAAGCTCCATTCCTTTTACAGAGATATTCCGCCTTGCAAATCTGTTGGACTTTTCCTGGAAAAAGATTCTTATTTCTCTCTTGTTTTGCTTTATGTACTTTGTTTTTTTTCAAAGATGTTCTCAAATAAGGCAATTATCTTAAGCTGGAAGACATCATGGGGATCCTTTTCATGGGTTCTGTATAAGTGTTAACCGACAACCATATTATTATATTATTCAGATTAATTAAACAAAATTGTAACCTAATTGTGCCTGACTTTTTTTGAAGAAGGGAAGGGGAGTAAAGGATTTGGTATCAATGGAAAAGTCTGTCAAAGGATGGAGGGCAGGCTTTGCAGAATACACTTAATTTTGCTTACTTACGTTAGCTCATATTTAACAGTGACACAGGACACTGAATCAAATGGACCAGTCTGCACAAGACAGCCACAACAGAACAAAATAAAACAAGATTAAACTTAGCCAAGTATGGCATGTTGGGCAAATGCATGCCCTTAAGACTATATTTGGCCTATGTATGTCATGGGCATGCAGGGTGCCATCCAATGTTAAGTGTTTCTCCCAGTATTTCATTTTGCACAGAACTGATGCTGAATATTAAGAATACAATAATATTTCATGGCAATTTTTGTTTGACTTAGTAGTTCCTGATCTTGAGTATTTATAGTGGATCTACAATTAAGCTCTTCTACGGTTTCAACCTCAAATATTTCAAATCAAAACAGGGATGTACAGTAAGGCTAATGCAATTGCACAATTGAATCGGAAGTAAAAATCATTTAATTGTTTAAAAAACAACAAAGATACAGGAGTTTGGTCTGGTTTTGAAACTGGTTCTACTCTTAATCCTGAATCTGTTGAAACTGTTCAGTAGAATTGAATGCAGTCTGGACATACTCAGAAGCACTTTCTTTTCAGCCAAGTTGAATGTATTTTAAAAAGGAGAAAAATGTTCCTTGATCACGACGGAGAGAGAGAATGCAACAAGCCTCAAATTAAGCACCATAATGAGAGGATATCAAATTGCCAAGACCATTGATTGTACTCTGTGGTGTAGAAAAATATGCCAGCAATTTATCCAAACCAGAGCATGCAAATGTAGTGATATTTTACTTGTTGATTGGCATATAGGAGGAAAAGTACAGAGCAGGAACTTGGAGAATCTTGGTACCTGAAAACTAATGGATTTCTTCCCAGCATGTGCTTTGGGAGCCTAAGGTTCCAGGTGCAAAGGGAGACAGACATATTGCACTCCACAGAGAGAAGGTGAGGCTGGTAGTTTGGGGAAAAATTCAGGTATAATTTCAAGCATACTTAGGCACACTTCATTCCTTTTGATTCTTTGCATATTTCAGGCAAAGCCCTGCTATCAAAGGAAAAGGGTGGTAGAGCTGATCAAATATCAAACTTTTGAAGCTGATCTCCAGATTAAGTTACATTTGTGTTCAAGGTATAAAATACAGGCAAAAGATATACAATATGAAGTGTGTGATGTTCCCAGTTGGTTCTTCAGAAGAGCACCTCAATAAGTCATGGATGGCATCAGCATAACCATACTGGAATAGATCAGATCAGGAAGTCCCCACTGGCACTTGCACGACATCTGCCCAATAACAGACATAGGAAGACATATAAATGACCCCACAAAAAAGGTGCCAGGCTTTGAACTACTATACCAGCAATGGATAATCCTGAATAGGATTTTCACCTCACATAGTGCCTGCTGGGACTCTGTATATAAAGGAGGCATAGTATCCTCCCCTCAGTGTGACTGAAGAGTCCTATGTCAAACTTGATCACATTATGACCAGCTATAAGTTGAGGGCATATACAGGTCCAGTACCTGATTGCAAAGCCTTAGTAAGGCCACACCCGGAATACTGTATCCAGTTTTGGTCACCACATTACGAAAAAGATATTGAGGCTTTGGAAAAAGTGCAAAGAGATTATTAAAGGCCTGGAGATTAAAGCATACGAAGAATGATTGCACGATTTGGGTTTGGCTAGTTTAGAGAATAGAAGAACTAGGGGGGACAAGATAGCAGTATTCCAGTATTTGAGAGGCTGCCACAAAGAAAAGTAGGGGGTCAATTTATTTTCCAAAGTACCAGAGGGCAGGACAAGAAATAACAGGTGGAAAATAATCAAGGAGAGAAGCAACCTGGAATTAGGGAGAAACTTCCTAACAGTGAAAACAATTAATCAGCGGAACAGCTTGCCGTTCTGGATACTTCATCACTGGAGGTTTTTAAGAAGAGATTGGACAGTCACTTGTCTGAAATGGTATAGGGTCTCCTGCTTAAGGAATGGGTTGGATTAGAAGATCTCCAAGGTCACTTCCAGCTGTACTGATTGTTTTTAATATAAATAATGATGTGTTTCAATGGTTAGATGGCCTAGCCCTAGACCAGGGGTTCCCCAATGTTAAGTTCGGATAATGAGAGGCTGAACCAGGGCATGGGTGCAACGAATACTTTATTAGAATAATAAAGGACTGAACGTGCTTGCCAAGCCTGGAACTGGCTCGCAGCGATCAGCGACTGGTCGGACCCCGCAGCCTGCTTTTATAGCTGGCTGCTGGGGTGAACCAGCCAATGAGAGGGAGGGCAACCGCCCCCGCAGCGCGGACGGACCTGGGTGGGAACTTCTTTAAGTTCCAGGGACATAACACCCAACTTGGCAGCTTTAAGACTTATGGACTTCAACTCCCAGCTGGCTGGAGAATTATGGGAGTTGAAGTCCACAAGTCTTAAAGATGCAAAGTTTGGAGACCTCTGGCCCAGACATTAATATTTGAACATAAATCTTTTAAAAATTTATAATTTATTATGTTTTACAAATCTAGGTGAAATGTTAATATATGCTGCAAGTCCATGTATGATATACCATAAATAATAACTGGAATAGCTGTCAGTCACCCCTCACACAAGATTGGCCATTAATATTTACATAGGAGTTTCACTTTCTTTGCCATCTCTTTAAGTTCCCCACAATTCTGAAAAGAGAGTTATTATAGAATTATATAATTATGTTATATAATTAATTATTATATGATTATAGAAAATTGCAATTGAGTATATATGTGTGTGCGT